GTTTCCTTATGCTGCAGAGATCGTGTCAGCCGACCTACATCAGTATTTGACAGGAATGGATATGATCCATTTGCGAGAGCTCGTCGCAGTTCATTAAGTAAGAAGTCCAAAATGAAACAAATGAAGCAGCAGGTTGCACCCAGTATAGTGAAACAGACAGACTACTCTCAGGTACATGATAGATGATCATAAGAATAGAATTGCCCATGTATGTTTACTTCCCTGGCTGGGATGCTTTCCCACTGCAGGTTTTCCCTCAAGATTTTGTTAGTCTTCAATGATAATTTGCCTGTACCCATTGTACTCTTGGTGTGAAGAAGGACAATGTGAATATAAGAGTGCTTGGTTCAAGAACACAACACACTGGTTTTTAAAAGGGCATGAACACAGTGCTCTAGCATCCATACCTTGTTCTCTCAAAATTAGCGCAACCCAAAAGAAGTTGCAGAATGATCTATCAAATAGCTAAGTACTGTCAATTTTACAATTGTAAAAATATCTCTTTAAAGGGGGCTGGAGTTCCAGAATGGTTGATCCATGAAGACTGGGCTTTATTACAGGTATTTGTGGCAACTTCCTTGAAATATTTATCTATCCATTATTGACATGTTAAGCATGTTTTAGCAGCTTTAGACTGAAGTTGCCTTGAAAACCACACTCAGAAGGCCAATTTTTTATCTTCAATTTTATTCAAAGGCTGTAAATTCCTTGCAAGAATTACCATTGGATCTTGCTGTAAATGTTCCAAGTCAAACACCTAACTGGGACATTGTCTGCGACATTGTCAATCTCACAAGTCGAACATTCCGCTCAGCTCGACAGGTAAGAACTTGTAACTTTGTTGGGATGTGAGAATTGAATTTAATTCCATAATTATCTAGCAGCAAAATAATCTGATCATGCTAAAATGAATAATCATCAGGGTAATTTAATATTATCCCCTGAGTTGATAACGTAAATTGGCCACCATAAAGAGTTTAAAAGCTGATGTTTCAAGTGTAACCACTGACCAAGGGCTAATGTCAAAAATGTCAGCTTTTAAACTCTTTACAGTGGTCAATAAATACATTATCAGCTCAGTTGATAATACTGAAATACCCTGTTATACTCACCCACTGATGCAGTACCACTGTTTCTCTAGAAACTTGCCCCCCCTTTATGAATAATCATCATCATGATTACAAGTTATTTGTTAGTCTTAAGAATGTTTAGATGTTCCCTTTCTATTTTTTGCTTTTTGTGTAGTTTCACTTGTACAGCAGTAGCCATTTTTCTGATTTTTTAAATTCATTTTTTTTTCACAGTGTCGTGATCGCTACATAAACATGATTATTCCCAGAGAGGAGGGAAAAGTACCCTTGGTAAGAAGCAGCCTCTCGTTTCTTTTACCCCTTTTATTTTCCTTACTTTACTTTGGCAAATTAAAGTCAGATTTAGCTAGAACTAAGGACCCTGGTAAAAACAGAGGTGAATTAGGTTAATTCTGGTTGACTTAACTCAGTGTAACAACTTGTAACAAAATATGGTAAGACTCATTTGACTTGCAGATGGAAGTCAAGCAAAGAAACAATCCTCACAGGCAGACTGAAATTTAAGTAATTGCTGAATAAAAGCTTGAAAATTCAGGCTTTGACGCGATTTGAACTGGTACCTCACAGATAGTAGTTAGGTACTATTGCCAACTGAGCAACAAAGCCACACAAAGGGCGCAAAGGAAATTCTATGGGGTTCTTCTTTCTTATGAAGGAATTTGATCATAACTCATAATGAAATAATTTTAATTTGACCTGCAGATGAAAAACAAGCAAAAATGTGATCCTCACTGATGGACTGCAATTTTAACCCTTTAACTCCCAAGATCTCATAAGTAATTCTCCTTACTGTCTGCCATACAATTCTTGTGATGTTAGTTTGCAGAATTTGGTATTGGATCAACTTATAATCCCCTAACTGATATGTTTCTTTATTCTCATCACTTGTCTGTTTGATACTGTGTTGATATTGTAAGGAAAAATTATGTCTTGGTCACTCATGGGAGTTAAAGGGTTAACAATTGCAGAAAAGAAGTCTGAAAAATTTCAAATCACTTCTTTTCTTGCTTAGTTAATCCAATGTCTAATGTTGTGGTTTTTTTTTTTAATCATTGTTTGTTACTGGACTGTTAGCCTGTAGTAGAGGAGAGCTTGAAGAAACTGAAGACAAAGTTGAAGTCATTTTCCCAGCCATACCTTACCCAACCTCACAGTCTACCAGTCAAGGTAAAAAAAACTCAGTCATTTGTGTGGAATTATCACATACAGTGTGAAATCAATGGTAATCCTTACAATATGATTGCAGTGAAGTTTATGCATAAATGGCTCTAAATTGTGTCTTTTTATCAAGCTAATAAGAATGGAACATGCCAAAAAAACAAGATTTACACAAAGATAGTGATTCTCAAATTGGTACTCTTTTATCTTTTCATTTCTAATATTAGATCAATAAAACAATGGTACTTATCAAAAACCTCTATCTAGGTAATGAAACTGTTCAATTTCAAAATTTGCATGAATTATGTGATAAAGTGTAGAAGTTGTTGTACAATTTTTTGATGAAATCATCTGTAAGATGTCAAATCAAACTTGCACTATGTGCACAAAATTTCAGACTAAATTACACCTGATTACAAACGCACGTACTATGTAATAATGACCTGCTTTAGTCAACCAAAGAGTAGTATATTTTGTTGATGATTATATCAATTCTCATTTCATTTGTCAGATTAAAGGCACAAATGGAAGATCATTCAAAACACATCATCTGCTGGCTCAAGATGGTGGCCGCTCACCAACTGTTGTACGATCATCTGTATTTGAACTTGTGAAACGCACTTCCCAAAAGAGAAAACCACCTCTCAAGCAATTGTGAGAATTTTATTTTCTTAACCTGGTTACTTGATTTTTCTTTGCACCTCATTGCATTTTTGAACAAGGTTCAAAAAATCACCCATGTTAATTGAGGATGAATCCAAGTCTGAATTGTGAATTTTGAAGCATCCTTTCAATCAATAACTTTTGCCTGTTTCAAGCTGTGATCTATGAAAGGAAAGGACTTTCTTAATGAACAGTTTCCTTCAATCAGTGAATACAGATCTTCATTCAATTCACAACAACATTTTATGACACCAAATTGCTTATTGAAAAGGATCTACATGTGCTATTTAAATTACATGCACAGAACAGAACATCTTTAAAGACAGAAAAATGTGAAAAGTGCAAATAATTTACAATCCTGTTGTGGAAAAATAGATAGAGACAGAACAAATACTGGAGATGAAGGGAACAGTGTTGAGTTTGGGTAGCAAATAGTTTAGAGACAAAGCCACAGGGAACCTTCAGCTCTTTGCTTTAAAATGCTGTATTCTTGCCAGATGGTCAGGTTATAATTTCTGATTTCTTTTATAATTTTTCAAGTCAAGATTTAGGGCAGTCTTTATGGCATGATTTATTTTGTCTTTCCATCGACTGTTGCTCTTTGTAAAATTGTCACATTTTTTACTCTTAGGTTGGTGGATCCTCAACTAAAGAATTTCAAACATTCTGCTGTATTAAGTGCTAGGTAAAAAGAAACTCTACCTTTTCATGAGTGACTCTGACATTTTTAATCTTTAAATCCTTCACATCCTAACATCAATATGCATATTCCCCATACTGTTCTCCAAACATTTTCCTAGGTGCCGACAAGGAGAATTTGTTAACAATCAGAGCTTCTCCAGATTATGATTTTTTTTTCCTTTACTCTTGCTCCCTGTGTGATTCAGGGGAGATATTGTGAGGAGGAATTAGATGCTAGTCCCTTACGGGCTGAAGGGTTAAAGAATTTGTGATTCATTTGTTAAAGCACTGGACAGCAGTTGAACAGCTCCATTTGATCAACAACCTTATCCCGATTCGACTCTATGCATTTTTCTGTTAGATTTCTCAGAAATCCAATCATTAAAAATCCAAGTCAGTTTCTTGATTTGTTTAAGTACAAGATCTTTTATTGTTGATTACTGTTATTCTCTGCTACCCAAGTGGTATTTCAGAGGAGAAGACTTTGAACCCAGTTCAGCTGGCTGCCATAAAAACAGACCGACTCAATAGAGAAAAAGCTGCTGCTGTAAGTAACTTGTGGTGCCTTTTTGTTCAGTGTTGTATAGCTGTGGTTGTTTCATTTCATCTTGTTTGTTTTAATTTGTCTAGTAGGGCAATATATCCTTTGGTTGATAAGCCCAATTTTGTACTATCTTGAAATATTCCATCTGAGAATACATAACAATCTATGTAGTGAGTTTTTCCCATGTTCCTGGTAAATCTTGTATAATCTTGGCAATCTTGCTGTAAAATTTCAGGTTTAAAACAAAGAAACAAAAGAACTTTTAATGAAAGATCGAACATCATGGTGCAAAATTGTCTTTTACTTTGATAAGAAAAGGCAGTGATTGTAGTTATTTTTTTCGAAGGGAGAATTTTAGGGTCTTCAGTTTTTCCTCTTGTGCAATAACCTTTGTATTGTCTAGTTTGTTGATCAGGTATTAGTCCCTTGTCCATTGAAGAACCATTTATAGGACTGGAGAAAGGGGGTGGTAATTGTTCAGCAAAAGAAACATTTCCCCCACAGAAGAGAATACATGTATCATTAGAAATCAAGGCCTGGATTTGATAAGGTCAGTTTTTGATCACAGATGTCTTTTTCACTTTTGCTTCAATATCTTCAGCAACAACAACAGCAGCAGCAACAACAACAGCAGTACCAGCAGCAACAACAGCAACAGCAACAGCAACAGCAGCAGCAGCAGCAGCAGCAGCAGCAGCAGCAGCAACAACAACAACAACCACAACAACAAAATCAATCAGTCACAACACCTACACAATTACAACAGCCACAGGCCTCCCAGCTTCCACAGCAGACTGTGGCCAAACAGTTGCCAACCAGTGTGCAGTCACTACCTGCACAGAAATTGACCACCACCACCCAGCTCAACTCCACATCTGTAGCAGTAAGTCACTTGACATTCCTTTTACATGTCTTTGTTGACCATCAAATTGCTAGATTTTGGATAAATCAAGTGCATGTAGCTTCTTAATGTTTTGTAGGAGGCAATTTATTTAGTGGATGGTGCCATCCACTCTTCAACAGAGGCTCAAGGAATTGAATGATTTAGTGGAGACATATATCTTTAGGTGTGTTAGAGATATTGTAAAGAATATTATATTATAAATTACACTTACATTTGATAAATACTTTTATCTCAGACAGCAGCAGCACTTCAGAAAAGTGCAGCTCTTCAGGGAGCTACAGGAACCACACTAGCATCAACTTTACTCAAGACATCAGGTCAGTGCAGTCTGGAATTTTTCAAACTCTGTAAGTTGTTTTCAAAAGATTGCGGGCTATTAAGCTGACCCAAAGAGCTTGTTAAGGTCTTGGCTTTAACTCCAAAGATATGATTGTTAATTCTTCCCTCAAGCTGCTGCATATTTCCTTGAAAAGTAGTTATCAGAATTTGGTGTTAGATCAAGATAAAAACTTCTACAGTACCTGTTAAGTTTGAGTACTCTCATTACCTGTTTGGATAATGAATGGATATTATTGTGAGAGGTTACATGTTAATCACTTCTGGGAGTTAGGGTTAACTAAAGAAGAAGTCATTGAACTAAATGATCTATCCACCTAAAAGGACTACTTCTCTCTGACTGTTGTTCATTTGGTAGCTTCTGGTATTGTACTTACCGGTCAGACTGTTCCAACCGGGACTGCATCAAGCATCGTGGTCAACACACACAAGGGTAATGCAGCAGGTCTGAACTCCTCATTTGCTACCATCAACAAAAGGATGCAAGGAAAAATACCAACCCCTCTTCAAGTACAAACGGTGAGTTTGAACAGGGCTGTTTTGCAATTTTTGTATTGATTGGGGGTAGGTTCTTTGACGGTTACGAATGAGGGTGCAACTTTTCTGTGAAAGCAAGGAAGTCACCATGGTAACTCAGTCAAAGCCCACACCCAGAAGCTCATCAACAGCTGTAAACCAGCGTATGGAGTGAATCTTACTGAAGAATAGCAAGTTACTGTGGAGATGCAAGAAACAAAACCAAAGAAGAAAAACATTTTCAGAATATCTTAAGAGGGTAGTTTGCTATTGAAGGCTTGAAGGGAGATGTAGTTGTTATGTGACTCTCAAATCTTTTGGTCTTATTAAAAGATGATTTACTTAACAACTAGATTCCAGGTCTGACTCCAGAATGTGATAAGAACATAAATGTGGCATATGAAGGGCAGCCGAGTTTATCACTGATGTTCTTCCAACATTTTTACTTATTCTGTGATCTATTACTGTACAGACATGGAATCTAGTCATTTTGTATGTTAAAAAAGCAACGTTGTTACTGGTGACATCGTCCATGCGTCTATTCTTCCATAGATCATGAGCAAAGAACCAATCAAAATGCATATACAATTCAGTGTATCATTTAATTTTTTATGGAATTATTTTTTGTTTGCTAGAAGGTGTCTTCAGCTGGTGTAGCCACAGCAAGATTAGTGCAGACTCAGCCACGTCAAGTTAGCGGTTCCCTGGCATCGAGCACAGCAACGTCAATAACACTAGGTGCTACCAACAGCATGACACCTGCATCATCAGCAGCTGTGGTCAGTCAGGTAGGACACACTCTTTACAGAATCCCATTGTGTGTGCAAGTCTGACATGTAAATGTGAAATGGTTATACTGTGCAGGATAACAACTTTCTCCTTTTCTATTTGTCTTTTTTCCTAGATCGGACTGCAGACTACTTCACCAGTTGTCACTGCAAGTATGTAAATGTATTTTACCGACACTGTTTTGTATTATGTTTAGTTTTATATATACAATGGCCCCCATTTGGCTTAATAATGTGTTTGTATATTTGTCAGCGGACATTATCTGTTCTGAGATGCAAACAGTTTTCCGAGAGTGACGCTTGAGGAATAGATAATGTTCAAGGACAAGTATATGAACACATTTTCACACCAAATGGAGGCTATCATGGTTATTATCCTTCAAATATTTGTGCAACAGGCAGGAAAATGTTTATTAACAACTTTCTGTTTGCTCCATGGAATGTTTACTTTTCAGTGTTCTCTGGCATGACATTGTGATCAAACACTTATGTCTCTTTTGTAGCCATTGCTAAACGCTCTAAATGCTCATGAATTAAGTTTGAAACAAGTGCTTTTATTGTACTTAGTAGACGCAAGGGTTTGAAAATTAGGGAATATCACTTACAATATGTCCTTAGAGATTTCCTAGTTTTAGCAGACACATTCAATCATGTGATGCATTTAGACCAATCACACACAAAGGGGAAATATTTGACGGATTGTAATTGAAGATATACTCCCTTCCTTCATCCTTTCTCCATTTCTATTCCTCTCATCCTCTTCCCTCTGATTTCCATTCCCCTCCCTCTTTTCCCCTCTTTCTCCCCCCCTTCCTGCTCACTCTAATTTTCTTCCTTCTCTGTGTCCTCCTTATATTTCATGCTCTCTCAATATTCCTCGGAAGTTTTCTCAATTCCATGCTTTATTTTTGTTGTACCATGTAAAACTGGCAAGAACAGTGTTTTATTTCAAAATGACATGATTGACATTGGCTGATTTCAGGTCATAACCTGCCGGTAGCACCACAGCAGTTTGTAAATCAGCAAGGTGTGACGCTTACTTCTCAGCAGTTCACTCCTCAGCAATTGGCATTGCTTAAACAGCGGAAACAAATACAACTGCAACAGGCACAATTGAAAAAGGCACAACTAGATCAACACATGAAGCAGCAGCAGCAGCAGCAAATGCGACGAATTCAGATTCCACAAGTTAACCGAGGACAGGTGACACAAGGGGCTGTTGCATCAACTGCCAGCTCAATTGCTAAACCAGGTACAGTGCAGCAACCTGGTGTACAACAGCAACAACAGAAACAGCAGCAGCCAATTACAAACCTGCAGCAGGCTGCCCTTTTGCAGAAGACCATCACACCACAGCAATTTCAGCAGATTCTGACCAATCGGAAACTTGCACAGTTAACTCCTCAACAAGTTCATCAACTTAAACAACAGCACCAAAAGATTGCCATAAGGCAACAACAGCAACAGGCTGTTGGAGGAGTGGCTGGTCTTAAAGGTGCGCAGGGAGGCCAGATGGCTACTGCCTCTGCTGCAGTAACGACACCAATGACATCTCAGGCTCAGCTTCTTGTGCAGGTGCCAGGTACTGGTCAGGTGAAGAGTCAGGTGACTTCCCAGCCAATGGTCAAGCTGGGCACTGCACAGATTCGGCATCAACCACAGCAGTCTCAGCAACCCCAGCAGATGACTACAGTCACACTGCAGCGGACTTCACCGGCAATACAGCTGCTTCAGAAACAACAGCAGCAGCAAGTTCAGCAGCAGCAGCAGCAGCAAGTTCAACAGCAACAACAGCAGCAAGTTCAACAACATCAACAACAACAGCAAGATCAGCAACAACAACAACAACAACAGCAACATACATACGCTATGAGGCAGCGTAAACATTAAAGAAGCTCTGTTGTTCCATTCAAAGTTGACACTTATTTGAAAGTAGTTTTGTAAAATTATGTAGCAACTGTAAATTTTCATCTCTTTTAGTATTCAGGGTGAAAAAGTATTTCACAAAAGTTTCAGTTATACTTTCATGTTATACCTGATAAAAGTGTAAAGAAAGTCGTTATAGGAATTTTCATTGTCGCCATGATTATAACCTAATTTGAACTACTATTAATGCATACAAAGGCTTTGTATTATAGCTCCACAAAGTGATCTTTTGATTCCCCGTTATTGGAATTTTGCTTCAGGTCATGTTCTTACTTTAACCCTGAGAATCCAAAGAGTGATCAGTATCAAATTTCTTACAGCAATACTGCTGAATCATTTATTAAGGTCATGGGAATAATGGGGATGATGGTCAATCTAAGAGGCACTGGATTGTTCACCAAATTTTCCTTGTCAGGGCCCTTGGAGATGTACAGAAAACAGTATGGATGATAGGCATGCTGATGGTGCAAAGGGTTAGGTAATTTTCGTAAAGTCTCGGGCATTTTTTTCGTTTTTCTCTATTTTTTTTCCGCTATGAGACTGAAACTTGAGACGAAAACTTCTGTTGAATCTATTTTCAACACATGGGGAATTGTTGTTTTTCTTTTTTCTTTTTTTTTTCCTGCAAGGAAAGAAGGTTTTAGTGTTTATAGTGTTAATTTGTGTCCCAATCTATAGTCACTGTTGTATTTAAAAGTTCGATATTGGCAATTTGTTTTTCTTTCTGCTACGTCTTCCTGTGAGTATGGAAGTAAGTCCTCTCTCTTCATATTAGTAAAGGAAGAGAACTGCGAGGGTGATGAGCAAGTACTGAGTAATTTGGCCAGTGGATATAAAAACACTTCACAATTTTGCTCACATCATCATTAACCTTAATGTTTACCCCTTCTGTGTACATTATTTGGAAAGGAAAGTTCTGCTTTTATTGGAAGATGATGGCATTCTTTTTAAGTTTATATTTGCCATTTATTATTACTTTAGTTTAAGTTACCCCTAGTCCAAGACATTGTGATTTTGAAATCGAGAACAATAAACAGTTGGTCTAGCGCAGTGTTGATTGAAAGAATCTCACCAGAAGCATTGACAGAACCGATTGTTAGACGCACTGTTACCCACTTGACGCTATTGAAGCGTTAACTCGAGCCTCTTTAGGGATTTCTTGTGTAATAAATAGGTGGTTTTAATTGGGAAGCCATAGTAACTATAGCATAGCTGGAGAGCGCCTGAGCAAAATGTGAAGCCACAAGGGTGATGAAGAACAAACAAACAAGAGAAAACCTCTGCTACGAAGGTTACATAAATTTAACACCATGTACAGTTCAGACCAACGTTTACGATCGCTCGTACAGTTTAGCATGCTCCCCAAACTCTGATTAGTGAGGCAAAGCTCCAGTAATGTTGTTCATTTGGACTTAGTAGTATTTCGACATTAAACTAAATTTTTTTGTGAGATTCCATTTGTGTACAAGTACTAGGTAAGTCCTTGACCATAGTAAACCCCTGCCTGGTAGCCCTGGATACAAAGGTTGACTTATTTTTAGTCGTATTTGGTTCACTTTGGGACTGTTTGAATTATGTAAATCAATCCTAGATTCAAAGAGTCTTGAGCAACTTCAAAAAGATGCTTGAACATCTGTGAAGTCATGCAAGCATTTTTCTAGAAATCTGTATGATCAAAGATGGGAATGAAACCTAAGAAATACTATAGGTGGTATATCTTTGGATAACGTATCCACAAGGAACACGTATTTTCTTGAACACTTTCACAACTGATCCAACAGACTCTATGAAAACTAAAAGTAAGAGCTGAGTTCTTAGGAGACATTACAATGAACAGCTGCAAAGGACTAAAACCTTACCAGTTTTAAGGTAAAAGGTATAGGAAGGCTTTAAGTCAATATCACCACCATTTTCAATATCAATTACAATTTTTAATAAAAATTCTTTGCCATGGAAAAATACAGTTCTCATGTTTACAAACTGAACAACCAAGCTGCTTCACTGCATCACTGGAAAAATTTTAGACTTTAAGAACTTGAAAACTTTATTTTTAAAGTTGAAGTTTTAAAACCAACTTTCACACTCCAACTTTGTCCTCCAGAGCTTTGATTCGCTTCTCTTGCTCCTCCACCTTGAGTTTAAGCTGCTTGACTGTCTCAACCAACTCCTGGAAATCAAGTAATATTCAAAAAATTATTATAGGACAAAAGAGTAGCTGGAGAGGTGTATGGAGTAGAGTCATGAGTACAGGTTAACTCCCTCTTTATGGAGAAACAGTAATCACTAAATTTTGTATAAGGATATGCTCTGATGTTCATTCAGTTAGAAGCCCTTCACTGGTTTCCACACATTCTACATGAAAATTTCATGTGCCTGGGAAATTTCCATGTGGAAAGCTCATGAAAAGCAACTACTTGTTATCCCTTCTGCACACTGCCTTTGTATTCTTCTAAACGACATGTAGATCTTTAAGCCTATATGCAAAAAACTTCAACTCACAGGAGCCCTTTGGAGCTTTCTGAACTTATTCTACAGACAAATACAACTGACTATTTTAGCTTTGTGGTTGTCCCAATTTATACCATCAAGCAGCATGTAATAATTTCAACAAGGTACAGTTGTAAAATGGCAACTTTTTAACTACTTACTACTTCATCATCATCAGCTTTTGCTTCTTTTTTCTTTGGGGCCATCTTACCAAGCCCCCTCAAACCCTTTTTGGGTTTGTTAGCACCCTTTGCACCTCCACCATCTCCTGGATTCAAGGAAACCTTTTTGGGTTCCGCATCTTGTCCTTCAAACCAATCTGAAGCTAAAAGAGACGGCTCATCGCCTTGTGTGTCTGGAAACAGGTCCCGTTGAAAAAGTTCTGACTGAAAGAGGTTATTGAAATGTCAGTTTACCTTAAAGCAAAAATGACTTTGCTGATGCATTAATGAATCTGTATATGTACTCTTTCCTCACCTAGCCATGACCTTCTCTAGGATTCTCTTTGATATTTCTGAAGACTTATGATTGAGAAATTTACCTTGAAACAATATAAAAACAACCACTTAATCAAGGTACCACCTACTTTTCTCGTTTGAAACTATTTTCAGTCATTTTCCACAACTTTCTAGCCCTTGAAAATTGTACCACAGAATTTCATCACTTTCCAGATTTTTCAAACTTAACAAATCCTGAAACAAAAAGATTTAGAATCCAAAATAACATGTCTCAAGGGACTATTATATACCTTCCTTGGAACTGTAAAACTGACTGGTTCACAATATCCTTTAGCAACAAGCTTGAAGCACTTCGCAACTTCATTGGAAGTGACATCACAACCACGTTTTGGCATGTAGCAGACACCTCGCTGAGGTACATTGGAGCTGTAATTGGTCAACCAATGGCAGTGTGGATGTTCCTTGTCCAGTTCATAGTACCTGATGATGCTGTCTCCCTGTTAACAAAGCAAATATGACAAATAATGTGTGATTATTGACTACTGCTAAGTGGGAGGGCAGGACAGGAAAAATTATGGCCCAAGGCTATTATGTATGGACTAAGCATAGAGAGGTCTGTGCACAATGACCAAGAACCAAATATATTTACCCCTCTGGCCCAAGAAGTCAGTCAATAAGCATTTCATCATTTGACTGTCCCTCCTTTCTTCTTCAGTTCACATCTTGCCAAACCATACCACTTTCTATGGCCCTGTTTTTGCTATCATATACAACCCTCATACAAGGGTTTTTATTTTTCAGTAACCAAACACTATGGCAACCAAGACACTGGTGGCTTAGAGCCCTCTGTGTACATCAATATGTTTGGTGTAAACCATAACAGACTGATTCAGTATAACATAAAAATTGTTATTATTTGAA